TACATATGTACTAAATATCAAGAGCAATATTCTTACAGGGTGGTTATTGCTTGAAATCTTTAGAAGAGAGTGTAGCATTGACTTTAAGAACTTTGTTAGGCGATCCATGTCCTGTTTTACAAACACTCGACTTACCATCCTCAAGGTAAATTACAAACAATGATAAACATGATTTTTAATTATGTTTTAAATATAAAACATTTAATATTTATTTAATATTTTATTCATATTACGTGTAAATATATGTATATATAAATGATAATTTTAAATTTTCTTGATATATTTCTTTTATATAAAACTATTTTTGCTGTTATTCTTGCTTGCTATTATTTATCATTATCTATCATTATTTTCATTATCGCATTATTCGCTGACAGGAATATTTTTTATTATATCTTATGCAGCTCTTTCTTGTTTCAGTATACGTGATACTATTCTGAATGTAATTTATGCACACAAACCATATTGGAAGTGTTATCAGTATCAGGATACATACAGCATTAATAGCATAACGCATAATAAGGAGGAGATTGCTAATCGACATATAGTTATAGTCACATACAAGTAAGAAACTATCAATATTTTCCAATTTACAGGTACTTTAACATATATGACTAATTAATATAAATTAATTTAATTAATTTAAATTGATTTTTATATACATTTGTTATATTTTATAAAATGAAACTACGTGCATTATGATTGATTCATTATGATTTTATTTTATTTAAGATTTGATTCTTTTAGACAGTCATATCGATTTATGATATCATAAGTGAGAAATGATGTATAGTAAATTTCTATAGCTTTATTTTTAGTTATCCCTAAAAAATATAACAGTTTTGTAATCTTGAAATCTATAAAATACACAGCAAACTGAAATATCTGTCCAACAGTCATGTAAAATGATTCCTGAAGTAATGAGTTATTTTTTAGTCATGCTCAGCTGTCACATTCCCTGTGCATAAAAAATAATCTTTTTATATTACTTTATATATTACTATTATAGGATTTTTTAAAAATTCTATATGATTGGACAAAAGGGGCATCTCAAGTTATCATATTTTACAAATTTCAGGATTAAGAAACTATTATGAACTTTACAAGGAAAATTAAAAACTATAGCTATAACACACAAGAAATTTATGGCATGTTATTCCTCATTCATCTATGACATCTTAAATCAATATGACTGGCGGATATGGCGAAATAGTCGAGCCTTAATATATGCTCGATTATTTAAATCATTAATATTTTATGAGTTTCATGCCTTTTTTCCTTATATTTTAGAGGCAATGTGATTAAACCAGACAAGTATGAAACTCGAAATTGCTATCCTACACAAAACAAAGAAATGTTGGTGAAAGTGGAAGAAAAATTGGACGAATTGATACATTGTAAGTAATTAAAAAATTGTTTCATTTTGAAAAAAATTAGAAATGAATATTTAAATAAATTGCAATGCATGTTTTATTTACTACTTATTGCACGTAATATACATACTATATAATTAGTGCAATTTCTGTACCAATTTCTAATATATTATCTTGTCTGATAAATTGTACTTTGCATATTTAATAACTTTTTATCATTTTTTATGAAAAACAAGTTTTTAATTTTATTAAAAACAAGAGTTATTAAAAATAATTTTAAAGATACTATTCAATAAAGATTTTTATTAGAATATTAGATGAAAAAATATATATACTTTAACATTATTTTGATATTAACAGTTAATTATTATTTAATTTTTATTAGAAATTTAATTTTTATTTTTGCAGTTACAAAGTTGCGTGAAACACGTTATAAAGTATCTATTGTCTACGATACAGAAATGCAGAAACATTGCAATATTTTTGACGATTCTCATCCAGAAAAACCAAGTCGTATTTCCAGCATTTATGAAAATCACGAAAAACATGGCTTATTTGGACGATTGCATTTTTTACAAGTATGATACAATACACACGCACGTACGCTCACACATAAATTGAATCCTTATTTTAAATAGTTCAATCGAATATCTCAAGAACTGAACTCGATAGAAATGGTATTTCAGACAAAAGTGTATGGTATGGAGAAGGACAAGCAATATCTAAAATCAATTTTCGAAAAACGTCTATTTTTTAAAGTTACATGAAACTTATTGTTTTTTTGAACTATTTTTCTAAAAATACAATTATATTATTTTTTAGATATATTTTGTTTAGTGATTCTGCACATAAAATTATCAAAATATTAATAGTTAACAAAATATTTTATATTCTTATTTGGACCCAACAAAAAATGACTTGTAAACTATTTTTTTTTCTAAATCTAAATTTTTTTCTAAATCTTAATATTTTAATACATTTATGTACAGAATTATGAAATGAATCAATTTATATAAAAAAAAGCATAATTGTTTTTAAAAAAATATATGTAGTTACATATTGTAAATTTATTTCTTTTTAAAGAGTTCAAAGATGTCATCTTTTGACACATACACACACACACACACACACACACACAACAAATTACATGTCTTTAACTTTTAACCTTTTTTTAAAAAAATTTTAATTAAAGTAAATAACAAAAATATCGTCCCTCTACGAAACCTATTTCATCTAG